CATCTTTATTGTTACTTAACATTCATAGAGTACTTATTTAGATTACTTGAAGACCCTTCCCTTTAGGAAGCCAGGTATAAAATATATTTTATTGACAAAGATAGACAGTTAACATTAGATTATTTGTGCTCTTAAAAGAAACAAGGCAGGGATAACCCCAAACAGTGAATAATCCAGCCCTAGCAGGGGTGGCTCAGTTGGATGTAGCATTGTCCACTAAACTGAAAAGTCATGGGGTCAATTCCTGGTCATGGCACATGCTTGGGTTGCAGGTTCTCCACATATCAGTGTTTCTCCCTAACATCAATGTTTCTCTCCTCCTCTCCCCACTCCTCTTCTCTCTCTAAAGTCAATAAGCATGTCCTCCAGGTGAGGATTAAAAATAAGTAGATAATTCAATTCTTATTTTTGTTCTTATGAAGATATTAATATACAATTTCTTATAGCAACTATTTTCAAGGTAGCGTCAATTATACCAATTTTATTTTAAATTTACTCTTTTTGTAGGCATTTTAATGTGTCTGGTAGTTTACATATCTGGTAGTAATATGTCCGGTAGTTTAAGACATATGTATTCTCCAATAACTGAATGAGCGATTTTAGGATTTATTTGCTAATCTTTGACCAAGACACCAAACATAGAATACCAGTGTTCTAATTTGACTCACTTTGACAAAAATGTCGTAAATAATATAGTCATATCAATAGCACAAAGGAGTAAAATAAGCATCCAAGTTATATTTGATTTTTATTGAATTTTTTACATGCTAGAGACAGATTTTTATCACAGTATAATTTTATTAATCAATTCTAGGCCTGTAACTCTTAATTTCAGTGGCTGCTGTATTATGTTATTTTAGTGTATTAAGTCTAATGAGTGCTTGGGAAAAAAGACATTGCTTTATTTTGAATAATTTCTAGATTTAAAATACATACATATATATTGTTTTTAAAGATATTTATGAAAATTTATTCCTGATACGGATGTCACACATGAAATATCACTTATTTTGTAGCCATTTAAAATAATTTAAGTTTAATAATACAGGTAGTTGTACTTTTTGTCCTTCTAGCCAAAATTATCTCCATCTTGTCACTAAATCAAAAGTAAATAAAGAACTTCAAGAAACATTTATTCAGAGTTTCCTACAAGGCATAGGGTTTTATAAATGTCAAATGAGAATGTAAGGAAAAGCAAATTAGATTAGTTCAACTTTGTTTTTATTTTCTGGGTTCTTTAGTTTCTCCCATTCTCTTTTAATGCCAAGATGACAAGACAAGTACTTATTTATATGACAGCCTTAATTCGTTAGCATTTTTGAAAGCCTGGATATTTATGTTTACATTTTAGCTTCATTATTGAGATTGTGACCAATAATGTGTATAATAAATGATTTTAAATTTTTTAAGTACTTTTAAAAATTGTGGTTAAACTAGATTTTTGTCACAAGGTGCTAAATCTTATACCTAAATAGTGTATGAGTTTACTGTTGTTTCTTTGCTTTTTGAAAGAAGGTTAATTATACCACTTTACAGAAATTAGCTCTTAAAATTCCAAAAGCGTTGTGGGAAGTGATTTTTAGAATATGAGATGTTTGAGATATTTTAAATTTTTATGATTAAAAAAAACTCTACTGATTTCTATAAAGTCAATCTTTAGTGTAGGACATTACAGTTTGTTTTTTTTTCCTTGCATAAATCAATACTAAATTTGAGGAATTCAAGTTTGCCATTTGTTTGCTTTTTTAAAAAATAGCATTGAGTATTGAATTTTTCTTTTTTACTAAACTTAAATCCATTGTATCAAAAAAAAATGCTACCTCTGTCTAGCTCCAGTGTAAAAATATTTCCTACTTTATCTGTAGGAATAAATACAATTCTCAAAATACAATTAGGCATTATAAAAATTCATTAATAAGTCAATTATTTAAAATTTAGAACATAATTCCTGTTGAGAGTGCTAAAATGATGGTCCATGGTAGCATATTTATTCCACATTGCAGCTCAAGAATTATATCTTTGCTAAGAAAATACTATATATTGAGTTATACTGATGAAAGTGTAGAGTGTCTCTTTACCTGAACAATGATTCTCTAGCAGTCTTAATTTTATAAAATTCCTTGACCCTAAAAAGAGAAAGTCTTAAAAAGTTTATATCACAATCAGATGTTAATTATTGCTATATTTGCTTTATTTCTTTATTTTCCCACCTGAGGATATGTTGACTGACTTTTTGAGAGAGAGAGAAAAACACTGATGTGAGAGAGAAACATCAGTCAGTCGCTTCCTATAAGCTCCCCTGCTGGGCGGGCTCGAACCTGCAGCTGAGGTATGTGCCCTGACTAGTGATCGAACCTGCAGTGTTGGTGTACAGGACGATGCTCCAACCAACTAAGCCACCTGGCCAGGGCCACTATCACTTATTTTTAACATAAAATGGACATCAATGATAATTATTTATGAGTGTAAATAATTGTTTTTGGATCAACAATTAATCTTATAATTATATATCTTATAGATTATAATCTTATAATCTATAAGGAGAAAAAGAAGAGGAAAGTACTAGGTGCCTGAAATGCTTGGGAGACAGTAGTGAAATAACTTAGGTGTTTTGTTTTGTTTTGTTTTGTTTTGTTTTGTTTTGTTTTGTTTTTTTGGAGAGGCAGTCTGGAGTAAAGATAGAGGCATGGAATTTAGAATCAGAAGATCTGAATACAAATAACCATCTTCACAGTTAACTAAATGGTCTTGAAACTGACTACTCGAACCTGTACATTCACCCACATAATGAGGATCATTGACTCATTCATTCACTGATAGATTTATAAATGTGTTTCTTAGTAAGTGGCTAGGAAGACCAACAAAATAAGCTGAAAGAAAGCAAGCAATTTTGAACTGTGTAAGTATTTAGTCAAATATTAGTGATGACATAATTTGTCTTACTGTCTTTCTATTGGTTCCCTCTCCTCTGCCATCCCTCCTTTAATGATAACATATTTTCAATGCACTCTTGATCTTAGGACATCACAGAAACTTTAGAACTAGTAGCCCCAGAGTGAGGCAATCCAGGTTTGCCCAAATCTCAGCTTGATTCCCCTCACCTCTCAGTAGGCAGGAGAGTAGGGTGGAATTCAAGTTCCCTGGATTAGCTTGCTCATTTCCTCACTGTTGCCTGATAAAGTCCTGTCTTTCTCAAGTTGGGGGATAGCCTACGGTGCCTAATAGTTCCTGGGTGTGATTAGTCTCTTTCTCTCTGCCTCTATTCCCATGTATATCTAAATTTTCCCTCTCCCCCATCTCCTTTCTCTGATACTTTTTCTTGTTCCTTTTTAGTCTCACCCATTGGCTGGTTTCTTGCTGTTTGCCCACAAATATACTCAGGTTTCCCATGGCCTAAAATATTCTTGCTCAACTCCTAGTTTCTCTTCTGTCACCATCAAAGAGATGTTGATCTTATTGCCTTTATTACTTCATCACTTACTTAACCACAAGTGGTATGGCTTCTGTCCCAACCACTGTCCTAAATTTGTTCTAATCCAGTGTCTTTTTGAAGTTAGCAATTTCCTTGGCCTCTCTCTGCAGCATGTTGACACTACTGTTCACCCTTTCCTTCTGAACACTTCTCTTTTGGCTCTTGTAAGGATGGTATTTCTCGTTGTTTTCTTCCTTTCCTCTTAAATGTTTGTACTACCCCTAGCTCTGAGCTCTCATTAGCCTACTTTTCCCTCACTTTCTCCCTTTGTAGTATTACTTTCCTGTGACTAAAATTTACTCTATCATTCCTGTAATGTAATTGAACAGAGGCAGGATTCTGTTCACTACAAGAAATAATTTTTTTCCCTAAAGCAATTATAGTTGTTTTATAGCAATAATCTGCTTTTGAAGTATTCAATTCTCCATTATTGAAGAAGGCTTTCAAGTGGAAGAAGAAAGACCCCTTGCGGAAAGGATTCCTGTATTAGGTAGAAAGTTGAGCCAGACAAAGTCCTGTCCAATTTAGAGATTTTAATTTTGATCTCATCTAGTTGACTCCCAAGGATTCAACTTTGACCTTTATTTAAATGTCTTCCAAAGCATTATTTCCATCCTCTCTGCCTCCTCATCCTTTTTTTCTCCTACGAGCATGGTGTGTGTCATAAAATTTGCTTCTGTTCTAGGTCATCATGCTTTCTAGTTTTAGCATTTTCTAGGACTCCTTTTTTTCTTTCCTTTTACTTGTATGGATTTGAGGACCACTGTCCTGTGCTTGGCTACTTTTCTGATACAATATTATATCTGCCCATATTGGCTTGCTGTCTCTTCTCCCCCTATCTCCCCAAACTAGGGGGACTCAAGCAAAGGGCATCTGTAGAGGAGGCTCAGGATCCTAAGGTTGAAATTGATATAAAACTAGGTATGGCATAGTGCTAATGTTAATACTTAAGATGCTTATAATAATAAATAGCAGTAATTGGAATTATTTATTGAATGTCTTTTATGTGCCAAGTATTATGTCACTGGTTTTTTTGGGTTTTGGGGGGGAGTTGGTCATTTGGAGGTAACCATTGTTAAGATTGTGGTATATGTCCCTGCGGGGCTTTTGTTTTTTGTTTTTTTGTTTTTTGCAAGTATGCATGCTGATTTTAAATTAAAAATTTGGGATCATATTGTGCATGTTTTGAAAACTTTCTACTTAATGTATGTCAAACATTTTTGTCATTAAATATTCTGCAATCCTCTTAACGAATTTTGAAATTGTGATGAAATGCTGATAGCATAAAATTTACTATCTTAATTGTTTTTAAGTGTTCAGTTCAGTAGTAGTAAGTATATTCACATTGTTGTGTAGCCACTCTCCCAAACTTTCTTTGCATCTTGCAAAACTGAAACACTATACCCATTAAACAACTCCTTATTTTTTCCTCCTCCAATCCCTGACAACCACCATTCTATTTCTGTCTCTCTGAATTTGACTACAAGCATACCTCTTTTTATTGCCCTTTGCTTTATTGTGTTTACAGATGTTGTGTTTTTTACAAATTGAAGGCAGGACCTCCACCAGCAAAAGGATTTGACTCAGCTTTATTGCAATATTTGCTTTATTGCGGTGGTCTGGAACTGAACCCATAATATCTCCGAGGTATGCCTGTACTTAAATAAAATACCTTATGTGAATGCAATCATATGGTATTTGTCTTTTTGTGATTGGCTTATTTCACTTATCACAATGTTCTCAATATTCATCCATGTTGTAGCATATGTCAGAATTTCCTTTTTAAGGCTTAATAGTAATATTCCATTGTGTATATATACCACATTTGTTTATCCATTCAACTGTCAATGGATACTTAAAGTTGTTTCCACCTTTTGGATGTTTTGAATAATGTTCCTCTGACATGGGGTACAAATACCTCCTCAAGACCTTGCTTTCAGTTCTTTTGGGTATATACCCAGAAGTGGAATTGCTATATCTTACGGTAGTTCTGTTTTTACTTTTTTGAGGAACTGCCATATTGTTTTCTACAATAGCAGTACCATTTTACATTCCCACCAACAGTGCCTAAGGGTTGTAATTTTTCCACATCTTGCCAATACTTCTTATTTTCTGATTTTTTTTTGATGGGTGTGAGGTCTGCAATTCTATTTTTAATGACCATATAATCCATTGTTTAGTTGTACTATAGCTTTTTAACCAATTCCTCCTTCTTTCAGAGTATGATTCTTTTAACTTTTTCACTCTTAAAAATAATGCTGAGATTTTTAAAAATCTTCATCCAAGGATTATGTTTATTGACTTTAGAGAGGGAAACGGGGTGGGGAGCGGTTTGCAGAGAGAGAGAAACATCGATTTGGAAGAGAAACATAGATCAGTTGCCTCTCGTACCCACCCCAACTGGGGATTGAACCTACAATTTAGGTATGTGCCCTGGCCAGAAATGAAATCTGCAGCCTTTTGATATACAGGATGATGCTCCAACCACCTGAGCCACCTGGCCAAAGCAATGCTGGGATTGTTTTGGAGTGTGTATATTTATTTTCTTAGTCTATGTAATCTAGAAATGAAATTTAAGTGACTTTTGAAGGGAGGAGAGCTATTAGATAAATAGAAAGATGGTGTGATTATTAAGGAGGCCTCGCTAGCATGATGAATTAGAGGCACAATTTGACCCCCTGTCTGAAATTTACATTATCTGTGGGTAATAGGAAATAAGGCTAGAATAGAAGGTAAGTATCAGATTGTGGAAAGCCTGGAGTACCAGCTTGTGAAGCTTGGCATTTGTTTGGAAGCTATAAAATTTTGAGATGAAGTATAACAGAATTAAAACTTTCTAGACTTAATCCTAAAGCAACATGAAGAATGGTTTAGATTGCAAGCAGATAGACCAGTTAGAGGACCACAGTGTGACAGAAGCAAGATACAAGTCAGACAGGTTTAGATTTTATAAAGTGTTTTTAAAGAAGGGTATCACTTTTGAAAAACAGGAGAAGGGAAATAAATGATTAGTTATTAACCATTCTGCTAAACTATTTTGTATACATTGAAATGGTAGAGGAAAAATAAAAAGATTTGCGTATTACCTTACCTATAGTAGGCAGTTTCATGGATAGTTCAGAGTTGACTGTAAATGATATGTAATTCCAGTATTCTCTGTAGGTAGTTACTATATCAGTGTAGAAGCAAGGGAAAAAATTGTTGCACAGTATTGGGTAATGCTTTTGGTAAATGTTTCTCTGTCTCAGTTGCCTTCTCTTTCAGCCTTTACGGCATTCCAGTTTCAATATGTGGTATTATTCTCCCACAACGTTAAAATTTCATTGAAATCTATTGATTTTTTCCCTCTATATTTCAAATTGTACAATAATGCCCCCTTCAGGTAGAGTAAGAGTTACAAATTGAATATTCTTCTTTCTGATATCCATATTTTGCATTATTTATCTATTTAACATTTGACAAATATGAAAGTTTCTTTTCCCCAACATTTTATTGTGAAAATTTTAAAACAGAGAAAAGTGAAAAAGTAGAACATGTTGCACTCATATATTTCACTTAGAGATACCATTTTTAAATGTTGTCATATTTGTTTTATATGTGTATTTTTTTTTTTTTTTTTTTTGCCAAATCCCTCCTAAATACTTCAGTATTCATGTCTTAAGTGTAAGGACATTTTCCCCTAATCTCAATACCATTAATACACCTAAGAAAACTAATTAAAATTCTAAAATATCATATAACATCAAATCCATATTTAAAATTTCCCAGTTGTCTTAAGAATGTATTAGAGCCATTTTTTTTCTTTTTGAATCAGGTCTCAGTCAGGGCTCACATATTGCCTTTAGTTGTTGTCTATTTATTTCAATATAGAATGGTTCTCCACCTTCTCAAAATGACATTGATCTAAGTGCCAAGACCAGTTTTCTTGTATAATGTCTCATATTTTTAATTTGTTTGATTGTTTCTCCATGTTTTGGTTTAACCTAACAATCCTGCTTCTCGCTCTTTCCTGTAGTTGGAAAGGTAGGTCTGGAGTAGAGGTACTTAATCTTGCATTCATAGACTTCATAGGGTCTGTGAATAGAATTCTGGGAGTCTGTGAACTTTGGATGGGGAAAAAAATTGCGTCTTTAACTCTTTGGTTCTCAACTCGGTTGATTTTATTCTTTTCTCTTTTCCACCATCCGCTGGGATGTTTGGCTTTGTCTGGAGATATTTTTGGTTGTCACAGCTAGGTGGGTGAGTGCTATTGGCATCAAGTTATTAGAAGCCACAGATGTTTCTAAAGATCCTGCTGTATGCAGAGGGAGCCCCCCAAACAACAGAAGTATTCAGTTCAAAATGTCAATAGTGCCAAGGTTGAGAACTCATGCTTAATTGGGTTTTAGCATTTCCTTTGATTATGAATTTAGGAAGCTCTTCACAGGGGTATTAGCATTACCTGTAACTTTGTCACCAACAGAAATTTCACATTAAATTGCTGCAGGTATCTCAAAATGTTTATGCTCACTTATTGCTTAGAGAGATTTGCATTCATTGAGAAGCAAAAATATTACTATACTACAATGTAAAAAGATAGTTTGATAGCTATACTTAAGTGTAATTGTCCTTTGTAATTTAATGTATTTTATGCATTATAAACATTATTCTGGGAAGGGGTCTGTAGACTTCACCAGACTGCCAAAGGAATCCCAAGGACCAGAAAGCTTGACACCTGGTCTAGGGGCTTGACCATCTCCCCATTTAGCTTTCTAATATGGCATTTAGGATTTCTTTTTGCTGTAAAAACATTATGGTAAAAAGAATAAATTGAAATTGTAATATATTATTGTTGGAATCAATATTTAATTTATCAGACATCAAGCAATGGGAGTTCAATACAATACATTTTGTACATACAGGGTCTGACACAAAGAACACCCTTTTTTATTACAAAATCATAAGCATGTAATTCTGTAACATAACTATCACACCATATAATGTTTTAGGTGAAATGTTCAAATTGCTGTCCATTAAAGTCCCTGATGAGACATTCACATACCCTACCAACCACACTCAAGCAAGCCTTACTTCTGCCAGGCCCTGTATTTGTAGCTTATCTCCTAAAGTGTCAAAATGTGTTTATTTTAGCCATTTTATTAGATGAAATTAACAAAAAAAGTTAAACATACTTAATGTATAATTTAGAATTGTCTTCACCAAATGCTTAATGTACAGTATTCTGTGTCATATGGGGTTTCCTATCATTTAGATGTTTTTTCTGTCTTAAATATGCAAATAATTTTATACAGAAATAACTGTACAGTTAATGTGTATGGAATATAAGTGCAGTGAACCAATGTGCCTTTCAAACCAAGTCCCTGATTATTTCCCAGATATTTTCCCAGATATTTTCGTGATAGTGTTCTTTTGTCCTAGACAACTCACCCAAACTGCCAAAGAAGTCCACAGGACAAAAAAAGCTTATGGTTCCTTATTGCTTAGAGAACAACTATAGTCTGGCTGTACTGTGGATATGTGTGTGCTTTGTCACTTCCCAGGGTAAACATTTCATGCTAGCCCGGTCAATTTCCACACAGTCTTATGATTCCATGTTTCTTAACCTTTATTCATGCTGTTATTTGCTTTCTGTTCAGGGAACTTGAGGAAGTTATTTATCTTTGTGTATTTTCTTAGTAGGTTGTTTCTTGTTTCCTGTGGTCTCAGTGAATGGTGTAATTGCAAGTGTCTCCTTTGCATTAGAAGGACTGGGACAGATATGCAAGGAAGTCTGGGAAATGTAATTTTTAGTTTTCTGCCATACCAGAGGGAAATGAGAGTGGATGAACTTTTTGTCACTGGTTCTAGCCTTATGTCTTTGCTCATTTTATTTTTCTATTTACCAGATGTCCTAAGTTGGCTTTTTTTTTTTTTTTTAATTTATTTTGTAAACTTGTTAAACCATATGTATCTTTGTAAACCACTTAGTCTTTCTAGGCCTTGCTATACTTACCTCCATCATGAGGGAACTTAGGTTAGGTGATCTTTTTTTTTGGCGGGGGGGAGGGTAGCTAGGTGATCTTTAGGTTTCCTTTCAGCTATAAACTTGTTATATCCACTTATTTATTCCTTCATTAAAACTATTTATTGAATGCCTGCTATTTGACAGATATGCTCAGCAATAAAAGATTGTCTACTCTTTAATAGTAAAATACTACATGTTTTTCAGTGTCCAGGTTATATACTGCTTCATTGTAAAGTCTTACCCAACACTGTAACCTATATTATGTTGTCCACCAATTCTTTCAGTGCTTACTAAGAAACATAGACATAGGTTAACTGACATTTTGCTTAGTGTTTTGATAACTTAATTGCAGGTACCTTGAAGAATGAGACTTTTATAATCATTGACAGTCATATAGTAATAATAAATATAATGATAACATTTATGAACACAGACTTTGAGGCGGGCATTTTTAAATGCTTTACATATATCCATTCCTTTGTTATGTCATGTTTATGAGATGAGATCTCTTTTTTTCCCCCTTTTTACAGATGAGATAAAGCACACAAAAGTCAAGTAAATTTCTTCAAGGTTATACTGCTGGTATATGAAGCTGGGATATGAATCCAGGGAGTCACATTTCAGAAAAGCGTGTACTTACCCATTTTCCTATAAAGCATAATTACTGTATACTTGTTGAATGAATGGAATGTTTTCCTTTTTAATAGATATTGATTACAGCTTTGCTATCTATTTGCACTTTGGATTAAGATTAAGAAAAGATTAAGGATAGGTCACTTTGAGAACAATACTTTTTAAATAAGGACAAATAACTTTCTTGCAAACTAAATAAATATTGAGTCACTCTCAGCAGTGAATATTCAAATTGTGTACTTGGGGATTTTGAGTAATGTGTCTGTTTTTGTAAGATAGTTTGTGACATGCATAATACGTATATGGGGTGGGACAAAAATAGGTTTACAGTTTGTTATGGAAAAAAGACATGCAGGTTATGGTTATTGTAGCAGCTTTGTTAACTGTGTTTCACATACTCACAACTAACAGTAAACCTACTGTTGCCCCACCCTGCAGATGAATTTTGATTTATATCAAGTATCTTGATTATTTGTTTCTTACTCATTTTCAGTTGAGTGGTGATTTTATGCAATGGCTTCAAGCCACAGTTCTTCACCAGTGCCTCAAGGAAGCAGCAGTGATGTTTTCTTTAAAAAAGAGGTAGATCCAACTAAACACATTCGACCTGTGCAGTCACTGCCAGATGTGTGTCCCAAGGAACCCACAGGTAATGCTTTTTTTTTTAGGGTTTGTATTATCTTTAAATGAGTAGACAGATTTCATATACTTATCTTAGAAGAGTAAATTTTATCTGAAGAGATATAAATGATTTGGAACTAAGTACGTTAGGATATTGGAATATAGTTGTTTTCATGCATTTTCATATAATACGTTATTTACATAAATGTAAAAAATGTTTTGAAAATGTAGGTACAGATCGAAAGATCTTTAGTTAAACATAATACTGTCAGTTCTCATTATTTATAGTTTTCATATTTGCAAATTTGCCAACTCCTTAAAACTTATTTGTAACCCCAAAATCAATATTTTTGGCACATTTGTTGTCATTTGCAGACACACAAAGAGGAATAAAAAATTTAAATCGCCTGATGTACACATTCCCACCTGAGGTTGAGCAAGGCAACACTTCTCGTGCTGCCTTCTTGTGTCAGCTGTCATGCTGTAAACAGGTGTCTTCTATGTAGTCTATTTAGTACCATGATTTTTGCATTTTTATGCCTTTTGTTGGTGATTTTGCTTTTTAAAAGGTTCCCAAATATAAGGCTGAAGTGCTTTCTAGTGTTCCTAAGCAGGAGAAGACTAATGTGCCTTATGAAGAAAATAGGTGTGTTAAGCTTCATTCTGGTTTGAGTTATAATTGTGTTAGCCATGAGTTCAATATTTATGAATGAACTATATATATTACATAAATTGTCTTTAAATAGACATGCACAAGATTCTGTATTAATAAGTTGATAAAAATATTGTGACCAGAGACTTGCAGGAATCTAACCCTGTATTTCCACTAGGAGCAGTGGTTCAGTATTTGCTAATTAAGTGTTCAGTGACTCACTAGAACAGAACTACTGTGAATAATAAGAATCAACTGTGAGTTTTCCTTTCCTCTGTGGTTAACGTCACAGCAACATTTGTGTTATCTAATAAATAAAAAATTTTAGAACCAGTCCTGTCTGCCATGGTACAGCAGAAGAAAGGCCTATGTATGGGGGGTAGGGGGAACTGGAATATGGAAGGATAGAAGATATTCAATAGAGGTAGAAGAGTTTCGATGTGGAAAAAAGTTGGAGAAATTGTACAGTAAGGAAAGGAATTATTAGAAGACTGTCTTTATCACCTAACTCACCCTGCAACTATAGCCCTTAAATTTTGCATATCTTTTATCTTGTACATGTTTTTCCCTCCTTTGGTAATTGATACAGAAAGTTCAAGTTTATTTAACCAGATTGATTTTTATTAAAACATTTGCTAAAGAGGAGAGTTAGTTGCTTTGTATAATGTAGAATCTAACCATTTTTATTTTTCTAGGACATACTTTCAAACATAGAACTTACTTTACAGAGTCCTCTTGTTTACTTTTTGCAGGTGATTCAATTAGTATATGTGTTGCCCCATCTCTAGTTACAGATCAACATAGATGGACTATATATCATTCCAAAGTAAATCTCCCAGCAGCATTAAATGATCCTAGATTAGCAAAAAGAGAATCTGACTTCTTCACAAAAACATGGGGATTGGACTTTGTGGACACTGAAGTCATACCTTCATTCTACCTCCCACAGATCAGCAAGGAACATTTTACAGTATATCAACAGGAAATCTCTCAGGTAATATCTAATCTTGAAGTTAGTTATAGTAAGGTCAAAAGTAATAGAAATTCTTTTAATTTGATTTATAATGGATTTTGACCAAGAGTCTTTGAGGAACATATTGTATTCTTTTTTGCTCATATACATTCTGTACTAGGTTGTATTTAATTCTTTGCTTAGATTTATATAAATACATTTCTTTTATTATAGTGATTTTTCAGAATTACATATTCCTAATATAAAAAGAGGAGCAAATTTAAACCAAACAGAAGAAATAAATATCAAAGTCAAAATGAATGAAATAGAAAATAGAGAAACAATACAAAAAAATCAGTGAAACCCAAAGCTGGGTTATTTATGAAAAGACCAATAAAATTGACAAACCTCTAGCAATACTGATCAGGAACAAAAGAAAGAAGACAAAATCACCAATAACAAGAATGAGACATCACTACAAATTCTAAAGAGAGAAAAAGGCTGATAATGAAATATGAATAACTTTATGCCAGTAAATTTAACAACTTAGATGAATTGACATATTCCTTGAATGACAGAAATTACCAGAGCTCTATCAAGAAGAAATAGGTAACCCAAATAGCTTTATCTTTATTGAAGAAATTAATGTATAGTTAAATACCTTTCTACAAAGAAAACTCAGGTCCAGATGGCTTCTCTGTTGAATTCTACCAAACATGTAAGAAAAAAAATACCAAGTCTGCACATATTTTTTCCCATTTTGGTGACCATGTGGAGGACAAGACCAGTTCTAGGATGCGGTACGTGAGGTGCTCAGGGTGTAAAATATGAAGGGGCAGCAGAATCTGAAAATAGGTGCCTCCTTAAATACTCTACCCATGGCTCCTTACTTGCCTCACCCTATTACCAGCCCTGGTGTAGTAAGTAGAATTCCCATACACTATTGGTGAGAATTTAAATTGGTAAAACCCTTTTGGAAAGTAGTTTTGCAATTTCTTAAAAAGCTAAAAAATACTTCTGGTTCAGCATGTAAGGAACTTGGAAGTTTTTACCTTGGTCCTCACAAGAAGAAAAAATCTGAACAAACTTAAAATCAACAACTGAGAAGCTATTTGAAAGTCACAGTCCAGGGACACGACTTACTAAAAGACTGAGACCTAATCAAAAGACTGTAGAATGCTTCCCCTCCTCCCACACCTTACCACCGCGTCAGTAGGGAACCTGTATAGTAATAGGGGAATACAATGGAAAGGCTTGCATGTCTCAGACTTTACTTAAGAAGTCTCTAAAGACTGCAGCAAGGAAGATCAAAACGAGGATACCATAGGAAATTTTAGCCTCTCACACCTGTAGCTACAGTAAACAGTAAATACAGCCTACTTCCTAGCCAGGTAGACATAAGACCTTGCAGTTAAAGGCCTATTTACCTCAGTTCTTTTTATCCAGTACATCATATGTGGATTTCAACCAAAAAAGTTAAAATATATAATAAAAACAACACATACTGCTTAAAGAGACAGAAAGTACCAGGACAAGCTACAAATATGGCAGCAATGTTGGAGTTATCTGACCTGGGAATTTAAAACAACTGTGGTTAATATGCTGAGGGTTCCAATGGAAAATGTGTATAACATGTAAGAATAAATGGGTAATGTAAGCAGAGAAATGCAAACTGTACGGAAGAATCAAAAGAAAATGCTACAAATTAAAACACTAACGTATGAATAATGCCTTTGATGGATTTCTCAATAGACTTGGAATGGCAGAGGAAACGATCAGTGAACTTAAGGAAATGTTGATAGAAACATATCAAAATGTGTGGGTTGAAGTGAAAGCAGTGCTTAGGAAATTTAATAACATTGAATGCATTTATTAAGAAAGAAGAAAGATCTAAAATGAATAATCAAGCATCCACTTTAGGAAACCAGAAAAAGAAGAGCAAATTAAATTTAAAGTAAGCAGAAGAAAAGAAATAATAAAAATCAGAGCATAAATCAGTAAAATTGTAAGCAGGAATTCAGTAGAGAAAATCAAAACCAAAAGCTGGTTCTTTGAAAAGACGAATAAATTTGACAGACCTTTAACCAACTTAAGAAAAAAAGAGAGAATCTAACATGGATACCCCTGGGAGATCACTCCCCTTGAGTCTCTGTCCAGGTGGTGTAGTGGAGCATAGGGCTCTGCCTTGTGATGGACAGTCCCTTTCTGCAGTGTTGGAGAGAAAGCTGGACCTTGAGTCTGTACCTGTATATTTCTGCAGCTTCTCAGAGTTCTGTGGACAATGACTGAAGAGATAAGCCATGCAGAAAACATCTTTAAAAAAACAGAAAGAAAAGAAAAACAGAAGACATAAATTATTAATGATCCCATGGACATTAAAAGTATAATGAAAGAATGTTATGAACAACTCTGTACCCACAAATTTGATAGTACAGATGAAATGTACCAATTCCTTGAAAGACACAATCTACTATAACTTATACGTGAAAAATAAGTACACTGAATAGGCTTATACTTAAAAAAATTGGATCAATAGTAAACTCTCAAAACATTTCTTTGTATTCTATTCCAGAAGAATAGAATCAAAGGGGATATTCTCTAATATATTTTATGAGGCTAGCATTAACTTAATACTAAAATTAGACAAAGATTTTTTAAAATATATTTTATTGATTATGCTATTATAGTTGCCCCAGTTTTTTCCCCTTTGCCCCTCTCCATCCAGAACCCTCGTTCCCTCCAGCATCCCCTCCTTGCAGCCTTAATTAATGTCCATGCATCATGCATACAAGTTTTTGGCTACTCCAATACCTATACTATTCTTAACATCCCCCTGTCTAACCAATTTGTGCTTCTTAATCCCTTGACCTTTCTCCCCATTTCCCTCTTACCCCTCTCAAGTGATAACCCTACAAATAATATCCATGTCTATGATTCTGTTACTGTTGTTCTGCTTGTTTGCTTAATTTGTTATTTGGGTTCAATTATTGATGGTTGTGAATTTATTGCCATTTTAATATTCATAGTTTTGGTCTTTTTCTTATGTAATTCCCTTTAGTATTTCATGTAATAATGGCTTGGTGATGATGAACTTCTGTAGTTTTTCCTTGTCTGGGAAGCACTTTATCTACTCTTCAATCCTAAATCATAGCTTTGCTGGATACAGTAATCTAGGCTGTAGGTCCTTGCTTTTCATCACTTTGAATACTTCTTGCCAGTCCCTTCTAGCCTGCTAGTCCCTTCTTTTGAGAAATCAGCTTACCATCTTACGGAAACTCCTTTGTAGGTAATTCTCTGTTTTTCTCTTGCTGCTTTTAAGATTCTCTCTTTATCTTTAACATTTGACATTTTAATTATGATGTGTCTTGGTGTGATCCTCTTTAGGTCCATTCTTGTTTGGGGCTCTCTGTGCTTCCTGGACTTGTATGTCTATTTCCTTCAGCAAATTAGGGAAGTTTTCTTTATTTTTTCAAATAAGTTTTCAATTTCTTGCTCTTCCTTTTCTCCTTCTGGCACCCCTATGATTTGGATGTTGGTACATTAAAGATGTCCCAGAGGTTCCTAAGCCTATCCTTGTTTTTTTTTTAATTCTTTTTTCTCCCTGCCATTCTGATTGAATGTTTTTTCCTTCCTTATGTTCCAAATTGTTGATTTGATTCTTGGTTTTATCCTCTACACTGTTGGTTCCATGTAGATTTTTCTTTATTTTCATTTAATGCAACCTCTATTTCTGCCTAGATCCTTTTTATGCCGTTCAAGTACCCAGTGAGTTCCTGGAGCATCCTGATAACAATGTTTTGAACTTATCTCCATTTCATTTAGTTGTTTTTCTGGAGTTTTGTTCTGTTCTTTCATTTGGGCATATTTCTTTGTCTCCTCATTTTGGCAGCTTCCCTGTGTTTGTTTCTGTGTATTAGGTAGAACTACTCTGACTCTGGGTCTTAATGCAACTGTTAATTTAGGTGGAGCCTTAGGTAATCACCAGGATGGGGCCACTGTGTCACAGCTTTGTTGTTCCGTGTGGGAGAGGGCTCAAAGAGGGGACAGTGCTGCTACCTGGCCTCTGGAGTTGTGCCCAGGATGAAGCTGTCTCCCCACTTGTACTCACTTTCTCTCCACATACCACTAGTGCCCTTCCAGCTCTTGCCCTGGTGTTGAAACCCTGAGGGCGTGAGTCTGCATGAGTCCTAAGTCTGTTGTGGGCCTTTTAAGAGGACGCAGCTTCTTCTATTGCCCCAACCCTCACTGTTTTTTTATAGCCAGAAGTTATGGGGACTTATTTTCCTGGTGCTGGGACCCTGACCCAGGTGGTCTGGACTGGGGCTGGGATCCCTTGCTCCCGAGGTATCCCTCTTGAATTTTAACCACCACATGTGGATGTGGGACTGCCAGTTCCCATCTCCACATCTCTCTGCACATCTATGCATCTTCACCCCTCCTACGTTCCTGGATGAATGTGGCTTCTTTAAATCCTTGATTGTCAGACTTACGCACAGCTCAATTTGCTGCCAGTTCTGCATGATATTTGTTTTGTAGTGTTGCTGTATTTTTTGCTATAGTTGTTTGTGGAAGTAAGGCATGTTTACTTACGCCTCCGTCTCTACCAGAAGTACCTAGGCAAAGATGTTATAAGTAAGGAAAACTATAGACCAATATCTCTCATGAAGAAGGATGTAAAAATTCTTAACAAAATATTAGAACTGCAATTTCCAACCTTTCTCATTCCTGGCACACATAAACTAGAGTTCTGTGGCAAACCAAAATATATAGTTTTTTGCTGATCTGACAAAAAATTAAGTATGATTTTGATTCATTCATACCAGATGGCTATTGTTCGCTGACTGTTGTCATTTTTTTTATTTGACAGACTAAGGGAAAAGAGGTCAGTGACTCTGACTAACTGGTCAAGTATTGCATATTTTAAAGATTCTTATGATACATCAGTGTGCTGTGGCATACTGGTAGAAAATTGCTGTATTAGAAAGTCAAACACAAAAATGTATAAAAAGAATTATATATCACAGCCAAGTAAGATTTGCATGGCTGGTTCACTATTCAGAAAGCAATTAGTGTGATCCAGCACATTGACAGGATAAAGAAGAAAAATCCTATGTTTTTATTAATACATATAGAGAAAACATTTGACAGAATTCAATATGGATTCGTGATTAAGAAAAAAAGCAAACCTCTCAGCAAACCAGGAACATAGAGGAACTTTGTCAGCTGGATAAATAATATCTACAAAAACTATACAGCTACTGGTGAGAAACCAGAGGCTTTCCCTTAAGCTCAGGAACAAGGTAAGGTTGTTCCTTCACACCCATTACTTGTCAACATCATACTGGAAACCCTAACTAATGAAGCGAGACAAGAAAAGGAAATGAAAAGTACACAAATTGGGAAGGAAGAAATAAAACTATGTTTATTCACAGATGTCATGGTTGTCTGTGTAGAAAATCCCAGAGAATCAAAAAAGAAACTTTTTGGAACTAATTAGCAATTATATAGCAGGGTTGCAGGATACAAGTATACTATTACAAAAGTTTGCTTTCTTATATACTAGTGGTGTCCAGTTGGAATTTGAATTGAAAACACACCACCATTTACATTAGCACCAAAGAAAATGAAATACTTAGGTATACCTAACAAAATAGGTGTAATATCTGTGTAAGGAGAACAACAAAATTCTGATGAAATCAAAGAAGGTCTGAATAAATCGAGAGAGATTCCCTTTATACATAGATAGGAGTACTCTATATTGTCAACAACTCTGTTTTCCCAACTTGCTCTATAGAGTCAATGCAATCCTAATTAAAATCCCAGCAATTTATTTGTTAGATATTAAGAAGCTGATTCCAAAGTTCATATGGAAAGGGAAAAGAGAATAACTAACACATTATTGAAGGATAAGAACAAATTTGGAGGATTGATACTGCCTGACTTCAGGACTTATTGTAAAGCTACAGTAATTCAGACAGTGTGGCACTGGTGAAAGAACAGATATTATAAATAAGAGAAGTAGTATAGACAGCTCAGAAATAGACCTATACAAACATGGCCAACTGATTTTTGACAAAGGCACAAAGACAATTCAGTCATGAAAGGAGAGTTTTGAGTAAATGGTGTTGGAACAACTAGACATCCACATGTAAAAAAAAAAAAATTTAGATGCAGACTACTTATACCTTTCAAAGAAATTAGAGCAAAAAGGCTCATATACCAAAATGTAAAATGCAAAAGTGTAAAACTTCTAGAAGATAGCATAGGAGAATATTTATGACCTTGAGTTTGGTGATTATTTTTTAGATATGGCATCAAAAGCACAATCAATGAAAGAAAAAGTTGACATATTGATTTCGTAAAAATTAAAAACTTGTACTATATGAAGGACACTGTTAAGAGAAGGGAGACTGGAAGAAAATATAAGTGATAAAGGACTGGTATCCAAAATATACAAAGAACTCTTAAAACTCAGTAAGAAAACAACCCAATTTAAAAAATGGGCAAAGGACTTGAATAGATATTTCTTTGGAGGAGATATACAAATGACCAATAAGAACATGAAAAGATGGTCAACATCACTAATGGTTTTAAATGGTAAATTTTATGTTATGTGATTTTAACACACACACACACACACACACACACACACCCCACCCCCCCCCCCACCCCCAAAAGAGCTGAACAAATGTCTTCACCAAATATGGTTAAATAAATGTATCAAAAATGCTCATCATCGTTATATGTCATCAGGGAATTGCAAATTAAAACATGAGATGCCACTGCATATGTATCGGAATGGCAAAAATCTGTCCTGGCCAAATAGCTCAGCTGGTTAGAACATTGTCCGTGGAAGGAAAGGTTAGGGGTTCAATCCTAGGTCAAGGCACCTACAAGAATCAACCAATGAATACCTAAGTAAGTGGAATAACAGCCCTGCCCTGGCCAGGTGGTTTAGTTGATTGGAGCTTCATCCAGTACATCAGAAGGTTGTGGGTTTGATTCCTAGTCAGGGCACATACCTGAGTTCCAGGTTTGATTCCTGGTTGGGATGTGTGCAGGAGGCAACCGGGCAATGTTTATTTCTCACATTGATGATCCTCTCTCATTCTCTGCTTTCTTCTCTAAAAGTCACTAAATGTATCCTCAGGTGAGGATTAAAAAATAAATAACTGTAACAACAAATCAATGTTTCTTGCTCTCTCTCTACCTTCCTCTCTCTCCAAAATCAATTAAAAAATATTTAGAATGGCAAAAATCCAAAACACTGACAACACCGAATGCTGGCAAGGATGTGGACTAATAGGAATTCTCATTCATTGTGATTAGGGATGCAAACTGGTACAGCCACTTTGAAAGATCTGTGTAGTTTCTGACAGAACTATCAGAACTCTGAATACGACTAGCCCAGTGTTCTTTCGTTAACACACTGCACTTTCCCATGTGTCCTATTTGTGGTATCTCTGAAAAGGTGACAGTGTTGTTAGTGGTTATTTAATCTGAAATCAGAGCAGACTTTTTTTTTTTTTACTCAATTTCAACTAATAACTATCTTAGGTATGTTCTCAAAATTTCTTCCTTGTTTTAAAAAATTATTTCTTACTTGATTTTTGTTATATAAAGTAATTTTTCATTTGCTTTCCCACTTCATTCCAAATTTGTGGAGATTTTACTAATTATGTAAAATGGACAAGTATAAGTATATAGGTGTTTATATATCTCAGTGATATTTCGTTTATTAAGCATACTTGTTATTTATATAAAAGTTCAAGAGGCTAATGGTTTCATATTTAAAAATCATAGAACTAATTTGGTATATCTGATACTAAGTTGTGAAACATGTTGATTCTTTGAATATACGATACATATTACCACATACCATTGATCACATTATTTATTAATTGTCCTTTTATCAGAGAGAGAAGATTCACGAGAGATGCAAGAATATTTGTCCTCCTAAAGATACCTTTGACAGGACTCTCTTACATACTCATGGTATGAATATGTGCTATTTGTAGATAAGATGTAGATGAATATGTGCTATATAGCATAGCATAAATATTAATGAACACAATATTTTGGGACTTGCTGGCTGTCCCACCTGTAATTTTTATTTCTAGTGAAACTTTTATACCTTACAATTACAATCTTTTCTGAAAGCTTTTAGAGAAAATCTTGGGTCTGATGGTAGTGTTATCTTCAACAAATACATATTTAATATCTGGATGCTTGGTACTGTGCTTGTTGCTTAAAAATACATAAATAAGAAATAGTCCCTCTCATCAAGAAGCTGATGGTCTCCTCAGTAAGGTTTAAAAAAAATAAACCAAAAATTGCAGCACTGTATATCAAGCATTAAGTTCAGCATGGTAATGTATAGAGCTCTTAGCCTTAGAAGATTTCCTGGAGTTGATGACGATAGCCTGCATTTTAAACCCGCTATTGAGAAAGATTTATGTGAGAGAAGGCATTACAGGAACAGGAAACAGTTTGTGCAAAGCTATAGAGTCAAGTGATAAATTAGCATGTTAAAGGGACTGCAGGAGTTCAGTCTATTGACTCTACCAGGGTCAAGAAAAGAAGCTGAAGAAATAGGTGGGAGTCAGATCAAGAGCCTTGTATGCCATGCTAAGGAATATTTTCTTAAAGCAGTATAGAGCTAAAAAATCTTTTAATCAGACATAATCAGATTTATGGTTACACACTTCACTGTGAAAACAGTTGGGGATAATACATTTTTGAATGATCATAAAACTGGAGACAAGGAGACAGTTGGAGGCTATTGCATCAGTATAAGTGAGAAATTACGTGGCCCCAAATAGCAGTTATAATAAAGAAGAGAGGAAGTTAGGCCTTTAAGAGATTGAGGCACAGGTTTTGGTGGTCACTTAGTTTTTGATGATAGAACAAATTGATTCAAGGATGACTCCCAGATTTCTTGCTTGGGCAGCTGATACAATTTAGTGAGAAAGACAATACAAGAGGAAGAATTTTGGAGGACATGGAGACTGGTTTCATTGTACAATACTTTTGCAAAGAAGATGTCTGGTATGCAGCCTGGAGCTCAGGAAAGAGATCTGGGCTGGAGATACAGGTATAGTAGACATTATCATAGACAATATTCTAGATAATATGGTACTTGAATCCAAGGGCATGGATGGCATTATCCAGGAAGGATGTGTGAATAGTGAGAGGAAAAGAACTGATGATAGAACACTAAGGAGCTGTCACTTTTAAGGGGCAGATAGAAAGTGAGGTACTTTTGAAGGAGACTATAAAGAAGTGGTAAGAGGGCTATTGCCACTTCTCTCCTATTAAAAAAAACAAAACAAAAACAAAACCAGAAAGAGAGAAAGTAGACAGAGTTCTGCTATTGAAATGAAAGGTAGTGAGAATTTCAAAGTGAGAATGATTAATCTACAATGTCAGAATACTTCAATTTGTACACTGAGAAGTCTTCATGGGTTTGGTAATTTAGGGGCTCTTAGGGGAGAGCATTTAGACTGGAGTGGTGGTTACAGAAACCTCGATACTATATATTAAGGTATGAGTTCAAGAGAAAGAAATGGAGGCTACCAGTGTGAATGTGACTTGAAGATCTGAGATACAGGGTATTGACTACAGAGGGAACAGAGTGGAAGAATGTTTTTGCATGCCCCGGACAAGATGAGGCAAGAGAGGCATAAACCTGAGAGAGAGTGCTTTTTTTAGTCTTACACCCAAGTCCTCCTTTGCCTCAGTCTAGTCTGAGCCCTGTGTTAATCCTTCCTTCCTTCCTTCTTTCACTCTTTTTCTTTCTTCCCCCTCCTTCTTCCTTTCCTCCCTCCCTCCCTTCTTTTTTCTTTCTTTCCTTTCTCTCCCTCCCCCTTTCCCTCCCTCCCTCTCATCTCCTTCCCTCCCTTCCTTTCCTCCCTCCCTCCCTCCCTCCCTTTCCTCCCTTCATCTCCTCCCTTCCTCCCTTTCCTCCCTCCCTTCCTCCCTTTCCTCCCTCCCTTCCTTTCCTCCCTCCCTCCCTTCCTTTCCTCCTTTCTCTCTTTCTGGTTTTGTTTTTGTTTTTTTTTTAATAGGAGAGAACGAAACATGTTTATATGTTGGAAGGAAAATGCTCTCAAAAGGAGGAAGAGGTTGAAGATAGGGAGAGAGGCAGGGTAATTGATGAAGTGAACTCACTGTAGAGAAAGGAGGGGACCTTGTCTGAGATGTTATTGGTGAGGTAAAGATAAAGTAGGTTTAATTGCAGATAAGTTTGTAGATGGTACAGACTGAAATGTAAAAGAAAATTAATATATTTTAAAATATTTTTAAAAATATCTTTGATCAAAAGAAATTCTGGAAGGGATAATGGATGTTTTGAATAATAAAAAAACTAGTGTTTCTATTTTAGAATTCAATTCATTTTTAAAAAACTACATAGTATGCCAAACTTAACCTCATCAAAACTTAATAAGATCGTATCTAGCTTTCTGTGTAGCTAATCATTGTAGACTAATTGATCTCACTTAAAATGTATTTAGTTATTTTATTGCTACTGTACAATTGATTAAAATTATTTGAATATATGCCTTATTCAGTGCTTTGCATACTGTTAGGGACATAGGAGGTACTTGATAGATAATATGTTGAACAAAGAAACTTCAGTCATTATTTGTGACCTAGTATAGTATTAAATCTTGTCAAAGTATATTTTATGGAAATAAAATGAATATAAGTTTAAAAAATCATATTTTCCCTTTTCCTTTTTTTCATAGATAAATCCAGGACAGATCTGGAGCAAGTACCTAAGGTACTTATGGGGATACAAAGAATAATAAACTATAAGTCCAATCTTACAGAAGATAGTCCGGGGGGAGATACACATATTAAGCAAATAATTTTTGTTAAGTGTGAGATACATAAGTGTACATGGTATACCTGTGTTCAGAGGTGAGGTGGTTAATCTCTGTGTCATATAAAGAGACATGCTTGCCCCTTCGATTGGGTTGAATAGGAATATAAGCAAGAGCATTCTAGGCCAAAAACATGTATAAAGATACTTAAACATAAGAGGGTATGGAAGATAGTTGAATACTGCTCAAATTCTACTTGTAAAGAGTGGGAATGGCAAGATAAAAAGAGGTAAGTGGGTCCAAAAAAATGAAGGGCTCTCAGTGCCTTTCTAAAGAGTTTGGCCTCTGGGTCATCGGAATCCACTGAGAGATTTAAACAGAGAAGTTAGTTCAGTTGTATTTTAAAGGGCTGTCTCACAGCAATATAGTGAATAGATTGGGTGAGGACATCATTAAAGTGTCCATTTACTGTAATTCGGAAATAATGAAGAACTGCTTTGGAATGCTGTGGAGGTAGACGAGAGAGGGGATTCAAACAATATTTAGGAAATATAATGAGTAAGGCTTAGTACCCAGATGGATGTGATATGTAAGAGAAAAAGAGTAGGCTTTTCATATAATTGAATTTGTTTTGGTTTTAAAATTCAGTGTATGGCTAATCTTTAAAACCAATTTTGAAAGAATTTTGTGCAGGAGAACATAAGTATAGAGAAATTGATATCTGGCATTTAAAAGAACTCCCACTAGTAGTGGGAAATAATATGGAAATTTTAGGATAAGTATGATATCTCCCTTTGGTATATGCCCAGAGGGACTGCTTTAGTGCAGTTGATCAAGTTTAATGGAATGATCATCTCCATTGGTAAGACAAAAACACATTTTTCTATTTTCATGAGCATGCTTAGCTTGATAAGATGAGACTTCTACACTTTTCTACAGATTTTTATGTAAATAACTCAACCCTTGTTATCACTTTCTTTTGATGTTTATAATGAGATCCAAATTAATTATTGTTTAATGGTCTTATGATATTAGAAGGGATAATGGATGTAAAAAAGATGTTTTTCTAATGCAAGGAAATGCATTTTTTTAATAGATTTTTATGAAACCAGATTTTGCCTTGGATGATTCTTTAACTTTTAATTCAGTTTTACCATGGTCTCATTTTAATACTGCTGGTGGAAAAGGAAATCGTGATGCAGCTTCCTCCAAGTTGCTACAAGAAAAGGTACTTTCTTTTTTACTTTTTCCACATAGAAAAATTTTTTGTAGTTAAGTGATGCTGCTTGGTGTGGGTTCAGATTTAGCTATTTAGTAAGCACGACTTTTTAAATTGCATTTTGTTGTTACAGATAATTATAAGCCTTCAAATATTTACTGATAAAGTAATAGTATTTTGTTTGAATGGAATACAAGTTCTGCTGGTAAAAAGGAAAAGCTTATTTGAGTACTGATTATCTGAAACAGCAGTTGATAGAATTTCAATTGAAAATATATATTAGATAAACATGTAATTATAATTGCTTTACATTTATCCCAAACAATATATTGGCCAATTTTATATTCCTCATGATTTAAAGCGCAGAAAATCAACTTACCTGAGGCACTGTTTTTCCCCATTTACGTAGTAAGAGTGATTATTTTAAAGGAAAAATTTACCAATATTCCCATTGTATTTTTAGCTTTGCAAAGCCGAGTCTTTTGCATGTTATTAGTCAACAGCTTTAAAATTTTTCACAGTGTTCTATATTTCAGAAATCAACATCTTGAATGTCATTTAAAATGTAGAACTTTACAAATATCTTAACTCACAAATCAAGAATCTTAAAACAGGAAGCAAAGACCTTTGATCTCTGGTCACCGCCGCCCCACCCCCACCCCTGCCTTCCTGACACACACTCAGTTTAGAGCTTTTCTAAAACTGTGGTTCTTAAACTGAAAAGAAAGCATTTTGTTTTAGTCTACTGACATCTCTTGGTAATATGAAAGCTTGTCTCAGGAAGACGATTCAATAAGTTAGGTCCAGTACTCCTCAGTAACTAAATAAAGGACAGTTTGGGGAGGATAGGAGAAGGAATGTAGGAAAAGAATCATGAGTATTCCTTTTCTTACAGATATATCAGGATGATCACTTAGTAAGTTATTTACTGTTGAATCATTGGATTGAATACCTGAAACTAACATAATAATATATGTTAACTGTAATTGAAAAATAAAAGTGATTTAAAAATGAAAATGAATTCACTTTTTTCCTTTGGCAACATGTCACTGGTAAAGATTTTCCTTCAGAAATTCATAAATCTGATGAAAACAATGGTTTTATAGACATAGGCTCACTCCCAGACCGCTTCTTCACATTCCTGGTAGAAAAATACCTTAAAAGAGAAAAGCAACAAAAGCCAATAAAAATCTCATTGATCTGTATAGATACTTTTAGGAATACTTCAAAAATTGTCTCTTTTATAGAATTTTAGTAAGAAATGATTATGAAAATATTATGCCTTTGGAAAAAATAGATCAATGGAATATCAATAAGTTGCTGAAATCTTTAATATTCAAATGAAACAATTTTCTCTTGCTAAATGTTTGAAGTGACTAAAATAACAACGTTTGGTGGGGGGGGTTTGTTGGGGTTTTTTTTTGGAAAGTTGCAGAATCAAGTTTGGTATATTTGCATTCTGGCTCCTCATTCTGCTCTGTTCTTAGAAAAGTAATGGAAGACATTCCAGGAGAGCAGTTTCAAACTCTATGATTGACATCAGCTGTTTTATTTTTCTAGCTTTAGAGAAAGGAGATGTTACAACCAGGATCAGAGAAATTTGTATGCTGCTATAGTGCTACCCAAAGTGCTGACCTGTGATGAAATAAGGAGTTTGCATTAGAATATGAATCATAGCATTGCTTTCTTTTAAGGAAGTCTTTCTACAAAAAAGACAACGCAGTGGGTTTAGTGATGTAGTTGATTCACTTTCCAGCAAAGTTCTGTCTTTTGTCATGGACCTGCTAAACAATTCACAGACTGGCAGCAGCATATAAACTGCATTCTGAATAACACTGTCCTGAGGGAGTTCCCCATTCCGAATTTATTACTCTGAAAATTGAGTCCATTTTAGCTTGCAGTGTACCCTAGTACTTTTGTCCCCATACTGCTTCTTATGTAAATAAATGAACAGCTGTATTGAAGATGAGAAGAGCAACATCAGGAGGGTATAAATGCAAAGAGATTTAAACTGTGGGAAAATTTCTTGTTTGTGATCTTTTTTATATTATAATAGATCACTGAGGGAGCCTTACTGAAGATATTATGCTCATCATGGTTTTAAGGAAGCAGGATAGGTGGCCATCTCTTCCAATCTTATGAGTCCTAATGTAACCTTTTAACACTGTACACTGTGAAATCTCCTGACATGTTCAAGAATAATGCCTAAATTAATTTTGAGCTATTGGTTGAAGAACCTACAAGTAAAAAAGTGAGAAAGATGTAGAAAAGTGTATGCAGTTAGAAAGGAAAAAAGGACAATTCAAGTTTTAGAAGTCCATATTTGAAATTAAAAAACATTTTTAATATATGTTACTCTAGGAATTAATCTTGGTACTATTACAAAAACATATATGCACTAATTGTTTAAGGCATTTGCCAACCTTTTAAGAGGAAAATTCATTGGAAATTAACTGAATTCTACAAATTAATAAAAGAATAATTTTTGAAATGTAAAATAAGCAACCTTAAAAAAAGATCCAAATTAATTTTAGTACTTCTTATAATTTGTGACTGGACCACCAACCTGTCTTTTGTGGATTCTTTATTTTGAGGCAGCATGGTACAGTAGAAACAACTTCAGCTTTTGAGTCAGAAGACCTGGGTTCAAATTTTAGTTTTGCCACTTACTTACCACGTGACTTTATTCAAGTGCCCAGTTTCCACATCTGTAAAATGAGAATAGTAATAATTACCTGTATTCCAAGATTGTTCAAATTAGAAAATGATGTATATAAAATATCAGTGCCTGGTACATAAAAGGAAAAAGAGGTCAATCAATGGTAGCTATAATCATCTTTTAGATCAGTTATGTGCTGTGTTGGTGATAGCAAAGGTCTCTGGCAGTAAAGAGATAATTGCCTCTCAGATTTTAGAATTTGTGAAACTAGATGATAGTCTGAGATGACTGTGGGGTACTCTTTCTTCCTAGAAAGTGGTTCTTGTTTGGAGGGCAGTAATGGCAGGAGCAGCAGAAGACAGTAAATCACCTTCTTCTACTCTGTTGCATAACATTTATTAATCTTTGGGCTATTCTTTTGACCTCCCTTCCATTTTGTTATGTCCAATATCAAGGACCCCAATATCACACAGTTCACACAATGGGATTTAAAACACATGTAGAAATCTTGTATTATTTTCACAAAGTATTTGGATAGTCAAGGAAGGTATAGTTATAATACTCCATGATTTTTTTTCCTTCCCTCTTAAGCTGAGCCATTATCTGGATATTGTGGAAGTAAACATTGCTCATCAGATCTCTCTACGTTCAGAAGCATTTTTTCATGCAATGACCTCTCAACACGAATTGCAGGACTACCTCAAGAAAACTTCCCAGGCTGTAAAAATGCTTCGAGATAAAATTGCACAGATTGATAAAGTAATGTGTGAAGGATCACTACACATTTTAAGACTGGCACTTACCAGAAATAATTGTGTTAAAGTATACAATAAACTGAAGTTAATGGCCACTGTACACCAGACTCAACCTACAGTACAGGTGTTGTTATCTACTTCTGAATTCGTTGGAGCATTGGACTTAATAGCAACAACACAAGAGGTTCTACAGCAGGAACTTCAGGGCATTCACAGCTTCCGGTATGTCAATTAAGTAAACCATTAGAAATAATGTTAGAAATTTTTAAAGGATAAAGTTTAGTGTGTAATGTTAGCAGAATAAATGTGACTGTTTTTAATGTTACATGGTTATTTTTTTCTTCCAGATTGATCTGTTCAGTAATGTTATTCTGATATTTTATTCTTAGTTAAACAAAACCCATAAGGACCAATATTTACAGGGACTTTTGGATGGAGAAGCAAAACTACATTTTCTAGTAGATGAAATCACAACTTTGAAAAAAATAACATTTTGAAAATGTTGAAATGTTTTTTTTGTCAAGATAGTAGATCAAGGTAGAGGAAGGAATACCAGTATATCTAAAATTAAGTTCATTTTAAAAGCTCTTGAACAGGTTTTAAATTTAATAATTATTAATTTTATTTCTGATTTTCAGTCTGTTTATCACATTACAAAAAAAATCCCACATGATGATGGAAAAGACTCAATTTCTCCTAAGTTCTTATTTTGAAAATACCTTTAAGTTAGGGTTTTAATTATTTTATGTGAAATCATGGCAAAATGTTTAATTTATAGATAGACCAGTTGCAAGCCATCAAAATTTCATTCAGTTAAGCAGGCTTGCAGTGTCCTTATAAAAAAGTTTCTATTTGCTAGGAAACCCATCCAAACCTTACACTGCTGAGTAACTATAAAGAAGTTTTATGGAATTATGTGCTCTGTATCTTAAAAGATATTTAATATATTCTAGAAAACTTTGCTTCAAAATAAGTTTATATTAATTGAATTATAAATTCTTGTTGACTATTACATAAGGATGTAGAATTGGAACATTTATTTAGAAAGCATTTTTAAAAACTTATCCCAACTTTAATTACATAAATGATTGATTCATTCATTGAAAAAATGGCTTTTGATCATCTCTTTCATGGCAGACAAGACAAAATACTAGAAATACAACCATGAACAAAGTAGAGATATTCTCTGCTCTCATTGTTTCTACAATTTATTTGGAAGGAGAGGGGAGACAAATTACTGGGTAGTTATGATACAGTGAAATACAGTAAGATGAGGAAGGTACAGATTGCTCTGGAGCTCTAACCTTAGTGGAGGAAACTAATAGGCTTGGATGTTTATACAAAAAGTTTGAGCCACAAACCTCTTTGAGAACCTCTTGAAAGCTGTGCTTGGGACTTTCTTTTCATAAAAATAACTTAAGGTTAGATTTTACAAGCAATTTTGGTTGGTCCATAGTACTTTGAAACCTACTTTGGGTTTTCCAGCCTGGAACTCAGGGTGACTAAATGATTTTCAGTTTCCTTTTCACCTCTGATAGTTTAAATATTTCTCTTCTGTGAGTGTATGTGAAATATGTTTTTAAAATAAATAATATTAATTTTTGTCACCACGTTAGAGAAATGGACTTCTGTAATGATAGAAGCTGTGTTTTTCATTTATCACTACTATATAATATGAATGTTAATGAATATTGGGATCCAGTTCTGCAGAGTGGAGTGCTTTATCCTCTGAATAGGACAGTGCTGAGAGTAGAATCAAAGATTGAATGCTTGCCTGCTAAACACAAATTCTAAAATTGTTCTCATTTTTACCCTAAAGGTCATGCAATTTTTGAAATTTTATTTTGCTTGACTCAAAATTATGCCCAATAATATTGATAAAAAGTATAGTTATCCAAAGCAATCTAGAAAATATTTAAGTACTGGATTGATATTTACTCCCAATATGTCCTTTTAGAAGACAGAATGAAAATTTTATATCCTATTTATTTTGAGCCCAAGGAAGAGTATACCTTTATTTTCAACCTTACTTCTTTTTGTTTGTACCTTAACTCAAAGGAAAAAATGTTCTTCATAAAAAGGTGTACTGTAAGTCCTCACTTAATGTCATTGATGGGTTCTTGGAAATTGTGACTTTCAGCAAGATGATGTATAATGAAACCAGTTTTACCACAGGCTAATTGATATGAACTATAGTTAACTCCTATGGCATATTTCTGGTCACAGAAACATCACCAAACTTCTAAATAAAGACCCCCCAAAACATGTCTAAGTAAACATTGAAATAAATGTGAGCTATAACTACATTTAAGAAGATTAATGCAAGCAAGTAAGATAATTATTTTTCAACCTGCTTATGCCAGTTCAAGGCATTTCAGGCGGCTGGAGCCTCTCCTAGCAGCTCAGTGCACAAGGTGGGAACCAACTCTGGACAGGACATTCTTCCACCTCAGGTCACATTTATATCCACTCCCACACTTGCTCAGGCTGGGACATTTTAGATATGCCAAAGCACTTTACATGCACATCTTTGGGATGTGGCAGGAAACTGAAGTACCCAGAGAAACCCCACTCAGACATGGAGAGAACATGCAAAAATTACACATACATTGGCCCCTGCTGGGAATCTTTTTTTTCTTAACATTATAACAAAAGGTTTTTGAATAAAAGGATATTATTCAGGGACCTGTTTATGATTTTTAAAAGGACTTTCAAATATTCTGATTGCCTACATTTTGCTCAAACATCTTTTTACTATTATTTTTATTAGAGCCTACACATGTGTAAAGAATGTTTATTCTTCATATAAAACATTTCTGTAAAGCAATCAAATGTCAATTCCAGCATGCTTATCACTGTATAAGTCTGGTATCAAAACTGTGTTGAATGTCTAACTTCTGATAAACATCTTCATTTGCAAAGAATTTTCAAACATAGAAGTATTGTAAAAGAAAATGTTTTTCTAATGAAGGAAGAATACTGTCTCATACTTGAAATAGTTCAAGGCTGACATATTGCAGTCCAGTTTTTTGTTTGTTTGTTTGTTTAAATACTGTTTTGTTTAAATACTATCTGATTTACTTGCTTGACTTTATCATTCATATTGCTATAAAGCTGTCAAATATCAACATTTTAAACTTTCTTTTATAGCTTCACAGGTATGTTTAAGGCCATTTAACTTTATTTGGAAGCTTAAGAATAGTTTGGACTCTATATTTGTCTGATAACTTAGGATAACATAGTTTATGTCTGTTTATTATAAGCATTAGTGGTATAAGGTGTGTTATTAGTTTATTAACATGATTACTCTTTCCTGCCAGAAGATAAGAGATGTACTTGAATGTCACATGCTTTTTTCCTGTTTTTTCATATGAGAACAAATTTTAGTAATTTTTGGAGCATGTCTTAGAAAAGCAAATAGGGCCTTATTTAAAATAAGAAGCCTGTTTTTAAAACACCTATTTGAGAGAGACACAGAGACATCTATTTGTTGTTCCACTTATTTGTGCATTTATTGGTTGATTCTAGTATGTGCCCTGACTGAAGATTGAATCAGTAACCTTGGTGTATCAGGCTGGTTCTCTAATAAACTGAGCTACCCAGTTAGAGCCAAAACAAGGACTCTTTCAGTAGAACCAAGGATTCTATTGGGTTAATTTGTTAATAGTCTTTCCATTCGATAAATCTTAGTCCTGGTTTGCTTTCAGCTATATTTTTCCCCTAACATTTTTAAAGGGAAATTTGATATCAAAATCTTCCAATAGTCAAATTACTACAATTGCAAATCTCTATTTCTTTAAAAAGAATTTGAATGCTTTATTTGTACATAATTTTCCTGAAAATATATTTTCTAGTCAGTGGTAATAAAAAATACTTATGTGTTTTTTCTTATTTTTTCTATATTTTTTACCTTGCTATTTTCTGTATAAATTTTTTGTGACTTCTGAACCTCGAGAACTTTATTTACGTGCTAATGAAGTACAATAACATTCTTCCATATTTTGTCATTTGTGATATTTTTTTTAAAAAATTTTTCTAATGAGCCCTAAGTGTCTTGGGCAAGAGCTGTCATACACATCTTAACACATATTTATGGAATCTGAATGATCCAGAGTGTTAACCTAATGTATATTGACTCTGTATCATTGTTGTATACTTTTTTCCTTTCTTTTACTTTTCATGATCACTATCCCTAGTTAACCATTTATAGTTTATGTATGACTATAGTTCTTAATCCTGGTTGCATATTAAAACTCTCAAAAGAGCTTTATACAGTAAAAAGCATAACACACCCCATCCAAACCAATTAAGTTAGATTTTATAGAGGGTGAGGCCCTCACAGCTGCCTTCTTTTTTTTTTTTTTTATAGAGCGCTTTAGAAGTTTCTAAAATGCACTAGAATTGAGAAGCCTGGTTTTCAATTACAGTTGGGTACTGTACTCTTTCAGGATTTGGAATTAAAGGGGAAACATCTTACATAATTTTATTTTTTTTAAAACAAGGTTTTCAACTAAAACATCTTCCTGTCTATTCAAAGAGGGCTCTACTAATGCATTAGGGGTGCAGTATACTGTTACCAGTGTAAAAATCCCAGTTTGATTCCCTCTTCTGAATGTGGACAGTGATTTACACAGTGGAAAATTTTGGCTTATTGAATAATTCATAATTATTAAAATGGATCTTTTGTACATTTGTTGATTTCTGTAATTGTAAAAAATTTTAAATGATTTTACTGCCTCAATTGTTGAAAAATTGACCAATTTGAATTATTAGGACGTAAATATTTTTAACCACTACTCATGGAATGAAATTCTGCTATTAGCAATAAAAAATGTCTGGTAATCAGTGAAACTAAGTATATCATTTGTGATCTATGGTAATTTAAGTAAAAGTGTTGCCACAGTTAATGACATTCAGTTGTTTGTTAAGCAGATGTAATACAGAAAAATCATTATAGGCCCAAGAATGTATTTGAATCTTGATATCTTGCAGGTTTTGACATAGAAAAACTTCAGTTACCTTGAAATTTGAGGATGTAGTGTTATTATTTGCTCTTTCTTATTGTAAAGATTTATGTAGAAACTTTGTTTTCACCATTGTTAACTTTTTTTCTTGCTACTTATTACCACCGTTATTCTATTACCACCACCACAGTAAAACCTAAGAACATTTAGAAATTCTTTGATACTCTGTAACAGGTACTATGTTAAGTATATATATTT